GCCAGTAAACATAAGGTAGAGATAAAAAAATGACTTGGCTTAAACATTTTTCTCATTTTTTGAGTTGAATATCTTGATTACAATGCGAATTCAAACGTTTCAAATAAGTTACCTTTAATAATGGCAATTTCTACAATGCAATTTGCAAATAATTTAAAACAATTGACAATGGAAAAATGACAGCCTAACTAATAGTAGCAATATAAAATGTTATTTGTCTGTATTTTGAGTTGAATATCTTGATTACAATACAAATCAAATGTTTCAAACACGTTACCTTCAATAATGACAATTTATATAATGCAATTTGCAAATAATCTTTAAACATTTGACAAAGGAAAAATGACAGCCAACTAATGGTAGCAATAAAAAATGTCATTTGTCTGAATTTTTTGAGTTGAATATCATTACATATTGCCAAACATTTCAAACTGTCAAAACAATGGTGCCATATTATGAATATTCTATGTGTTTATTCTTCCTCTACTGGGGTAATTATATACATAAATGAGGACACTAGGTCCATTACAAATTAGCTGTCAATCAGCTATGAATACGGAAATGAAATAACCTGTTACTATTTCTATTTAATACAAAACTCCTATGATTATGTTAATCATCTGCAAATAAGAAAATTAATCTATTTAATACAAATCTCCTATGAATAAGTAATTGTATAATCAATGATTAAAATTCCAACAACTGTACAGCTCAACAAATATTATCTCATTTCGACACAAACAAATCATCTTCACCAAAATGAGAAAACAATAGATGTTAGTAGTAGAAAGAATCCCTCTTGGAATGAAATTTTTTATAACGCAACTTGTATATAATTTCAAACTTTGATAATGTTGTAACAATACAAAATGTCATTTGTTATTACCAAAATATTCATTTGTCTCATTTCTTTGAGTTCAATATTATTTTCTCAAATCTTTCAAACACATCGAAAATGAGAATGCAATAACGACTACAATAATAAAATAAGGGGAATGATCCGTTTATAATTTTTTTTTTTACAAATTACACTAAATCTGACCGGTCATACACTCTTGATTACTATATGATCGATCAGAAGTTTGTAATTAAAAAATTTATAAATATAACTTTTCCTATAAAATAAAGTTCTATCCAAGAATGAATTTTTTTAATTAATTACATTGATTAATCATTCTGCATTATAATCCTGTTATAAAAATCGACCATATCGGTCCGACTGTTTGACCCATTAACTAATCGGTTTCATGCGGGTATTAAATCGGCACTAATTTTTTAAAAAATCAATTTTGTTAAATTTCAGTCAAAATAGTTAAAAAAGACTACTAATGAGATTTAAATCTAAAACATGTAAATTATAATTTATAACACTTACTATTAAAGCAAGTCTAATTATTAATTAAAATATTCTAATTTTATATTTTTATATTTTATTATGTATAATTAATTCATGCGATTGAATCGGTGATCCATTAATCCAATACACTAGTCGAGTCAATAATTGATTCGAGTTTGATAACTCTTGTTATAACAAACAAGTTTCCTTGAAATAAAATAAAAGGAATTTGTTCTGACACTTTTTTGAAAGAACTTTGGAAAAATAAGTGATTATTTCTAAAACTAAAAATTGTGTTACCGATCATGTCCCTAGAAATATTTTTAACACTACTACTCGGTATAGCTGTTTATTAAATAAAAAAAATTCGATGGAACACAGAATAAATATAAAAAATTAAAGTAAAAAGACCCGTTTTAATAAACGGACGTACCGAATTACAAAAGTTTGCTCCATGTCCCTAGATCCTTGATGAATCCTTCTGCGTTATAACAATCAAGTGGTGAGTGTTGGTGCAAGAGGAGAAAAATGCAAAATTCAACTTGGTCAATCAATAGTCAATTTCCGATTCTCTATACACTTTTTCAATTATGTCTATTATTATAATTTTCAACTAGTGAATTACCCGTGCAATACTCGGGAAAAAAGAACAAAATACTTGTCGTTCGCCGTGGTTGATTAATCGCACTGCAATCCTTATGCTTACAAAAACTCGTGTTGCTATCTTGTTTTATATTTCAGGTGGAAAAAACTACAGCATTGACACAGAATTTTACAAATATCAATCATAAACAAAAATCTGCTATCCATAGTGATCAATATTATGCAAATCAAATATAGTTATCTACTCGATGAGTTATGGAAAAAATAAATACGCCATAGCTGACTATGTTAAAATGAAGATGGCTAAAAAGAGAAAAATGCATACAACTTATTGCTAACTATAATATAGCCACTAATAAAATCAAGGTAACAAACAGACTAAGCAAATATGAAATTAAAAGATCAACTTGTACCTATAATAAGAAAACGCTATTAATTCAGTATCATTCTCTAGCAATCATTGGAGGGATGAGTTCAACACATACCAAACATGCATTTTCTATGTTTATGCATTACCAGGAACATCCTCTTCTACCATCATATTTATGCCTACGATACAAAATGCAAATGCTCATTAAATAAATTACGCTAATATGTTAACACCCAGAAGTAATAGTCTCAGAAAAAAAATGGGTTATTTTTTTTTTAGAACCCAAAAAACGTTGTTTGAAAGGGATTTGAAAGCAAATTAATCAAATGGTCATGTATGAGTCATATTTTTTGCTTACACTGGAACAAATGTGTCTAAACAACATCAAATCAATACACATGCTAAAAACTTGTAACAATATAAAGAACCCACGATGATAAATTTTTAAAAAATAACAACATACATTCAGGTCCACCAAAGACTTAAAGAATGAGGTGACAATAGCTTCGCTGCTTCAAACAGTTGAAACATGATATTTTGGCTCATTATATGACTACAAATTGTTTTTTTTACGTTGACCTTAAATAACATGGATTTTTTATTAAGAACGTTAAGTTTTCTTGAATAATATTCCAAATCAGCATCTACATAAAAAACTCCTTCAAAGTTAAGTATAACTCGTGCGATGCACGAAAAAAAGAATAGTGAAATTTTAATTATAAAAAAAGAATAGTGAAATTTTAATTTAATTATAAAAATATGTTGGTGGGCCGGACCTCTGAGCCGAGCCCAGTTTGCCACCTCTAATTATTAGCATGTAATAGGTTTTTATATTTATCTTAAAAAAAAAGCTCTTATAGTTGCGTCTAGGTTTTTATATTTTATTTTAGAGATAAACTTTCATAAACAAAAATCGCAGAAGAGGAGGAACTGAAAAGTTTTTTGGTAGATAGTATAATTTTCAATATCATTAATAGACTTTCCACTTTCCAATAATTTCCAATTAAAAATCTTACAATTCCAATGTAGAAATGATAGTGGGACATTAATTTGATGTCTCCCACTAATTCCTTAATTTCGAATTTTGATTTATTTTATTATTTATTTATTTGTCTTTTAAAATTGGTATGCAAGTGTGAACACAAAAACAGTGAGAACAAAATCGCAGAAGCAAGAGATACGCAGGAGGTAGAAAATTAAACGTCTGAATGGTTTGAAGGTTATATGAAAACCAATAGTCGAACAAAAACAGTGAGAACAAAATCACAAGGAAGAGATGAAAATACGCAGGAGCTAGAAGGAATAAGCGTCTGAATGGTTTGAAGGTTATGTGAAAATATCAGATGATGGGTTTTCCATTTCCAAATAACATTAGTAAACAACCTTTCATCTTCCAATACAACAATTAAAAACCTTACAGGTTCCAATGTAAAAATGATAGTGGGTCATTAATTAGTTGTCTCCTATCAATTTCAATTTTTGATTTAATTGAAAACTTATTATGTATTTTTTTTTTAAATTGACGTGCAAGTGTGAATACACAGTGTGAACACAAAGCTAAAACTGCATGAGAACTTGACATAATAACTTTTTTGATAGATGCAAGTGTGAACGCACAGTGTGAATACACAGTGTGAACACAAATGTGATTTCTTTGATTCTCCTTTAAGTATATAATAGAATAGATTAGCTACATGCTTCTCTAAATTTATGCAAATTTTTAGAAGAAAAAAAAAACAATTGAAATATTGCCACCAGATGCTATGAGGCTCAGTCTTTTGTTACCAAGTAAAATGAATTAGGACCTCTTTTTTATGGAGGATAAGTTGTTTTTCAAAAAAAAAGAAAAAACGAAGTGTGAAGGATAAGTATTTTATGAAGTGCGTCAGTATCTGGGGGCAACCTAGTACAAAATGATTAATATTCTCAATTTAAAAATATTACAAATTCTACTATCAAGTTTCACAAAAATCTATATTTAAAAAATAAAAAATATGATTTATTAAATGAAAAAATTAAGCACTTAATATATTAATGATATTTTTATTTAATATATTATATTTGTAATTTCTTAAAATATATTCTCCAGGTGCCTGTTAGCAAAACTTACATTATTCTGTTCTCAATATTTTTTTTTTTTGCACTTTCCGCATCATGTATAGAAAAAAAAATTATATGGTCTAAGACCATACAAAATTTTGGTGATCCCTCTCATAAATAAATTTTTTTTCCTCCATTTTATTCATAATTTTTTCATTTCTATTTTTATCCTCCCCGGAACTAAGCTCCTCCGGACCATAGAAAATTTGCTCCACGTATATATAAATTATTTAGTAATATATATAAAGGGAAAAGTGTGTATAATTTTGAAGGATGTAAAGTTGTGTCATTTTAAGAGAGAGAAAGAGATAGATAAAGGAGGAGAGAGAGTTGACAAAAAAAAATAAAGTTGTGGGTCCCACCTCTTTGTGAGAGTGAAAGGATGTAAGTTGTGTAATTTAAAAGTATAGACACTTTTCCCATATATAAACTATTGAGATTGATATTATATTTATATTTATTTTATTTTATCTTTTTCTCATAATATCAATAGATTATAATCTTAAGTAATAGTGGAAGGAGAGAGAAAATATAAAAATACCTTGAAAAAAAAAAATAACTAAAATAGATATTAAAAATAACTCTTTCCAACGAAGAATCCCATGTGGGGTGGATGAAGATTCATACATGTTGACGACTCTTGAACTATTAATGTCTCCATGTGTTGATGGATTCAAAGCCTGAAAATCATTTACATGGTATTGGTGGGTACTCTCGCTTTGACTATAATGGTTTAGATTGTAAAACTTTCTGAGTAACTCGGCGTTGTTGTTTTTTGGTTTTCAGGTGCTTCAACCTAAACTAGCTTAATTGATCTTCTATTATTGAAGTGGAGATTGCATCCGAAAGCCTTTCAATGGCAGATTATTCCAAAAACACAAAATGGAAGTACCATGTTTTCTTGAGTTTTAGGGGAGAAGACACACGCTTGGGTTTCACCGACCACTTATATGCAGCTTTGGTGCGAAAGAGTATCATAACTTTTAGAGATGATGAAGAACTTGCCAGAGGTGAAGTCATCTCTCATAAACTCCTCCTTGCAATTGAGGAATCTCTCTCTGCAATTGTCATAATCTCCAAAAACTATGCTTCCTCGTCTTGGTGTTTGGATGAGTTAGTTAAGATTCTTGAATCCAAACATGTGCTGGGACAAGATGTGTTTCCAGTCTTCTATGGTGTGGATCCCTCTGATGTAAGGAATCAGAGGGGAAGTTTTGCAGAAGCTTTTAGAAAACATGAAGAAAAATTTATAGAAAACAAAGAGAAGGTGCAAAAATGGAGAGATGCATTAAAAGAAGTTGCTAACTTGTCAGGGTGGGACTCTAAGGATCAGTAAGTGCATGCCTTTAATTTTCACTTCATAGTAACCTACTTGTCCTGATGACACTCATGTATGCTGATATTGTAAATTGGTTTTTTTTTTTCATTTTATATGATTATTTTTGTTTTTGTTCTGTGTAGACATGAAACAACTCTCATTGAAGAAGTTGTTGCACAAGTATGGAAGAAACTAGAACCCAAATTCCCTACATATAACGATGGACTAGTTGGAATTGATACAAGATTAGAAGATTTATATTCAACTTTGAAGCTAGGATTGGAGGATGTTCGTTTCATAGGGATATGGGGCATGGGTGGTATAGGTAAAACAACTCTCGCGACTGCTCTTTTCAAGAAAATTAGATGCCATTTTGATGTTAGTTGCTTTGTTGCCAATGTTAGAGAGGTCTCTGGGGAAAGAAACGAAGGTTTCGTGCAGTTACAAAATAAAATTCTTTTTCGTCTAAATATAAAAGGAATGTTAATTGAAACTTCAAGCCAAGGAAAGGACAGCTTAAGAAACCTTTTGTCCAACAAAAAGGTTCTTCTTGTCCTTGATGATGTAAGTTCTAAAAGCCAACTTGAGAATTTGGCTGGAAACCAAGATTGGTTTGGTCCAGGGAGTAGAATTATAGTAACAACTAGGGATAAGCACCTGCTCATATCTCATGTAGTACTGTTTGAGATGTATAAGAGTAAAATCTTAAACGATAATGAATCCCTTCAACTCTTCTGTGAAAAAGCATTTAAAAAAGATGAACCTAGAGAGGATTATTTGGAGTTGTCTAAAAATGTTGTTGAATATGCTGGAGGCCTTCCTCTGGCTCTTGAAGTGTTGGGTTCTTTTCTTTGTGGAAGAAGTATATCTGATTGGGAAGATGCTTTGATTAAGATTAAACAAGTTCCACATGATGATATCCTCAACAAACTTAGAATAAGTTATGACATGCTAGAAGATGAGCACAAGACCATATTTCTAGATATTGCTTGTTTTTTTAAGGGATGGTACAAACATAAAGTGACACAAATATTGGACAATTGCGGCCTTCATCCAACAATTGGATTAAATGTTCTTAGAGAAAAATCACTAGTAACTTACAATGGAAGAGTTATTGGGATGCACGATCTACTTGAAGAAATGGGAAAAACTATAGTTTTTCAAGAATCACCGAATGATCCTGGTAGACGGAGTAGATTGTGGTCTCTAGAGGATACTGATCATGTGCTGAGAAAAAATAAGGTAAGTGCAGGTTTTAATGTAACATTACTTTTGATGCATTTGTCCTTGTATACCTTCTTATGTTACCAATTCAACAATTATTGTTTATTAGGGAACGGAAATTGTCCAAGGTATAGTTTTGAAGTCATCACCATCTGAGCCATATGAAGCACATTGGGATCCTGAGGCCTTCTCAAAAATGTGTAATCTTAGATTACTCATTGTATTATGTGATTTGCATCTTCCCCTTGGTCTCAAATGTCTTTCTAGCTCACTAAAAGTGCTTGTATGGTCGGGATATCCATTGAATGCTTTGCCACTTGGAGTTCAACTAGATGAGCTTGTTCACCTACAAATGATCAATAGCAAAGTTAAGCAACTATGGAATGGAACTCAGGTGAGAATGCTCAGTTAAGACCTTTCACATAACTTTATATCAGCCTAGAGTTTCAAATGCTAATGTATTTCTTTTTTGTTTTGTTTTGTTTATCAGTATGTTGGAAAGCTGAAAGTGATTGATTTGAGTAATTCCAAAGATCTACGACAAACTCCAAATGTTACTGGAGTTCCATATCTTGAAGAGCTTTATCTTAAAGATTGTACAAAACTTGTTGAAGTTCACCAATCTATCGGACAACACAAAAAGCTCCGGATATTGAGCTTTATAGGATGTGTAAACCTTAAAACCTTTCCAAGTAGATTGGAAATGTGTTCCCTCAAAATGTTTTATCTTTCTGACTGCTCAAAGGTTGAAAGACTTCCGAATTTGGGGGTAAATATGACATGTGTCTCAGTGCTTAATTTAATGAATTGCAAAAATCTTTTTTGCCTGCCAAATACCATTGGTAACTTGAAGTCTCTTAGAATTCTCAACATATCAGGATGCTCAAAAGTTTGTTGCCTGCCAGATAATATAAATCAAAACAAGGCTTTGGAGGATCTTGACTTGAGTGAAACTGCTATTAGCGAATTGGATCTATCAACACTTCAGTTGTGGAATCTCAAAAGGTTATCTTTAAGGGGTTGTAGTGGGCCAGGATCCAACACCAGCAGGGACTTGCATCTTCCTTTTGGGTGGAAATTTAGTTTTACCCCAGCTCCTACAAGCTTAATATTGTCTCCTTATATTGGCTTCAGTCTTTCCTCATTAACTGTTTTGAATTTAAGCTATTGCAATCTCACTGATGAGTCAATTCCTTTACGTCTCTATCGCTTATCATCGTTGGAGAGACTAATTTTAAGTGGGAACAATTTTGTACGCTTTCCTGGTCACTTCATTGCTAGTATTCCGAGGCTTCGCCGTGTTGAATTGGAAGATTGCTCAGAGCTTCGATCTCTGCCTGTGGTTCCACCACATGTTCGCCTGTACTTAGAAGATTCAGCTGCAATGGAAGCTAGTTTAGTAGATCAAGAAAAGCTTTGGAAGCTGTTTGAATCAGGTGACAAAGAGCTCTTTCAGTCAGCAGTATCTGACGTATGTGTTTCTATATACATATTCTATATTTTTGCTTGCACGTACCTGACATACAATGCGAGTAAAATTTTTGCACTTTTAACTGACGAACTCAAAAATCATTTGTTTCATTTATGTATCTTCACCTTATTGCTTAAACTTTTGAGAGAATTGATTCTTGATATGGTATTGATTATATTTGAAAAAACTTTCATTGTTACAGATTATGTGTCAGCTTCTGTTCGTTGAAATCCCACCATGGCTTGATAATAAAAATTTTGTCCCCTTGAGCTCATCGAATGTCTCAAAACATGATTCAATTGCAACACTAATAATGGACATTCCTGATGATTGTCGTTCAAGTGATTGGTGGGGAGTAGCCGTATTTGTGTCCTTAAAAGCCGAAGTTTATCGGGATATTTTTGAACGTGTTCCGCTCAAAATGCGCCTTTTTTGGAGCTTTGACTCTCTCGATCCTGAGGATGGCCCCTCCTTATCACTGGCCTCAAGTTCAATTGCATATAATGACATATACATGTTAACAATGATAGTAAGTGGTGATTATATATACATTCGGCAACACAGTAGAAGGAACGGCGAGTTCACCCAGCATCCCTTTAGCAAGCATCCAAAGCCAGAGTTCAGGCAAAACAGTACGCTGCGTTTTGAAGCACAAGTGGAAGGGCGCAATATAAGGAAGTGTGGGTGGCGTGTGTTACGCAAGGAAGATAGTCTTCAAGCCTTGCAAAAGGTAAAAGACAGCGAGCTTTTTGAGACACGTTCTGATTCCGAGCATTCCAGTGGCATGAGCAAAACATTGGAAATTCCAATAATGGCAGAGTATGCCGTTACTGCTTTGGGTGACCAAAACAAGGAAAAATCCACTGAGAACTTGTGGTTGGTAAGAAAATTTTGTAATTCTAGCATGCAGTTAATTAAGAAGGTTTGAGGTTGAGGAGGGTAGTATTCACATGAAAATATGATGCCTTTTCTTAGTGGATTTGAAACTGTGCTCTTTCTTATAATCAATCATATAATTTTATTTGACTCCTGAGGTTGATTTATACGGAAAGTAAACATATCTATGTGACATGTGCAAGCCGTTGTGTGTTATTGCAGGGAAAAAGACAGGGAGTGGGTTTAAGCGTGGTAGCTTTGATGTCAATGATGGCCGTTGGGGCTACAATATTCCTTTCGCATAGGCAGGGTTCGGGCTTTAAACAACACACCACAACGAATGAGGCAGCAGCTAAACTATTCAAATCACGTTGGGGTTCCAATGGAAGTGCAATTAAGGTCAATAAATCGCAATTCCCACGCAAACATAACACAAATGCGAGCCAGCGATTGTCATTTTCAGCACATCACCCACCAAGGAAGCTCAGTTTCTCTCCGAGTCATTACTGTTCTTACTTTACTAGATGAGAAACCTTATGCTCTATGATAGTTTCGTTCTTTTTATAAAAATTTTCTCAATTTATTTTTATTAATATAATTTTTCCTTTTCTTGTTTGACAAAAATTCGTCCAAACTAGCATAATTACAAAGGCCACTTGCTGCATTAGTTAATGATTAGTTACTTGCATAGATAAAAAGAACCACTAATTCAGTTTGCATAGGTAAATAAAAGAAAAATACCATGTTGCTCCATTTAAATTTTTTATTACCAAAATAAAGTTTTTCTATTTGAAACTTGTCATTTTATTTTTAAAACATTTTGCTATGATGAATATTTAGTGTATGCAACAAAGTCTCAGTCTCACATCACGTAAATTTTATATGTATCCTCTTTTACTCAGTTATATAACAGAGTCCTTGATGCTTATCTAAAACATGCATATTACTCATATGTTTCTCGTTTCTCTCACATTTAACATGGTATTAAGAGCTTGACGAGAAACAAATTCTAATTTGTGCCTACTGAGTGGACCTGTTGCCCATCGATGATAAAACTATTTTTTTTTTTTAAAACAGTGTTGTCCTCTTGATTTTTGGTATCTTTTTCATAAACATCCCTCCAGCGTTGTTCTTAGTTGCTAACCACCGTCCCAGCAAATAGTCAACGCCCTAGGTCGTCGTCAACCATTTTCTAGCAAATCTTCACTGCCAGCCACAGTCAACCACTGTGTCGGAGCATTTTTTCGACGAGTTTTCAGCCGAGCCGACCATTGATCGAACTGCCTTCTCACGACAATGCTGTCTATTTTGATCCCACCCTTACCTGAGCGACTATTAGACTGTTCTCAGCTGCTCACCCTTACCCTTAGGGGTGTGTTTGGTACAAGTATTTCAAAAGGATTACTAGTAAACCTTCTTTGGTAAACCCAATTACCATTTTTGGTAGATTGAACAAAAACCAATTCCTGAATATCCAAGGATTACCCGTAATTTGATTTATAAAGAAAAATCACTATTCAGATTACCAAAAATAATATGATAATTCAGAATACCAAGTAAAGGAAAAGCACAACAATAATTTTTGAGACAAAAATATCCCAACACACATAAAAACCTAGACCCAATCTATCAATTACAAAAGTAAAAATAGTTTGGGGTTATTTTTGTAAAATAAAGTCATATTTCGTTCTAAACCAAACATGGAATCAGTAATCTTTATCCAATATTTCCGGTAGTATTTTGGCGAACCAAACACATTTTTCGTAAGATTCCAAGTAAACTCAATTTTTATTGTATTCCCATTAATCGTGATTCCCGGATACCAAAAAACTTCTCTTGTACCAAACACACCCTAGGGGTAAAGTGTATATGGACTGCAAGGAGCGCCATTCTTTTTATGTTGGACAATGGGAGAAAAGGGATGCCTTGTGTAACATCTCGTGTCAACCCGGTTTGTTAACATAAGAATGATATTAAATTAAGCGCAACTAATTATTCAAATAAATGCGGAAGCTAAACTCATTAAAACGTGGAGAATTTTTTTTTCATTCTTCATTAAATTGTAATAATTACTTGCATGTCAAGTTAACTACATATTATATATGATTTGTTTAACTCTCTTACTTACAAATTATATATATATATATATATATATATATATATGAGGTAGGATCCTTTGACACTGGTGTCAAATTTTAATTTTGACACCTAATCTGAGAGCCGTTAGATCAAAAAAGATCAATGGTGTCACATGCTTGCAAATCAGAGTTGTTGATTTTTTTTTATCTAACGGCTCTCAGATGAGGTGTCAAAATTGAAATTTGACACCGGTGTCAAAGGATCCTACCTCTCTCTCTCTCTCTCTCTCTCTATATATATATATATATATATATATATATATATATATATATATATATGCTTACTTACACATTTCATAATCTATATCTTACAAGAGAATATCCTTAAGTTTAATGTCTCCTCTTAGCCATTGACTACTCCATTATACTTACTCCATTGTTCATATTTACACACGCCAATTTAAGGCATTATAATTCTTTTTAACACACATCTTTTCTCTACGCTCTACCTATATTCCTTTATGTCTTAGTTAATCAGAGTGATTCTTATAAACCTTAATGTCTCACTTAGAACGTATATTTCTTGTTATCTTAGCGATCCATTAACTAAGTTACTTATTACATACCACTTTTCAAAATTCATTAATTTCCTAGTCATCCATTATATAGGCTTCACATTATACAATATCTATTTCAAGATATTCATACATCCAACATATATAAACCATATCGCCTAGCAATCCATGACATAGGTGTTACATACATAACATAATCTCAATCAAAACAGTATAGGTAATTATGTCATCTCTCCTATAACTAAAACATCACAAGTACTCAACACCATACGCTTATACATACTCTTTAACAAAAGTAAACAAGCTTATTGCAACATGACATAGATAACCCCTATGCTCATCATAGATGAAAACACAACATGATACGATAAATAATAGTCATGTCTAATATAACAACCCTAATTCTCAAATTATGTGAAATTGAGAGTTAAAAGAGACATTGTGTGAATTTTGTGACTGTTAAGAGAATTCTAACAGTTGAATTATGAAACTATTATGATAATGGATGTGAGGATACAATTCATGTCTAACAAGTCAATTAGAATCTAAAAAGAACATAAGTTGTGTTTAGGGACATAAATGCAAAAATTATGGTAATCGGGATATTTTGGTAATTTTGTAAACTAGGTTTGAACTAAGTTCCGACAGTCTAGTTAAATTCTCTGATGAATTTTAAGGGTTATATATGTGTCTAATTTAATTAAATGATGTGTAAAATAATTTAAAGAATTAATTCAAAGATTGATTAATTAAAAAGTCAACTAGGTTAAAAATAAGCTTTAACTTTACACCTAGGTTTAATCTTTCGTCAAAGCTGATTGTCTTGCTTTGTTTGCTATTTGTTATATGTAATTATGTTATTTTGTGATTGGTTGGTCAAAAGTTCAAGTGTGTGATGTGTAAAGTTAAAACTAATAGAAATTAAGTTACTTTTTGCATGTAAAAGACAAATTTTGTGTGCTAGATTGCTTTTCTTTGTGCAAGTCGATTACACCTTCAATTGGATGCATCTCCACGCATGCTTGGCTGATGGAATAAGTTGGAGTCTTCTTTTGGAAGCTAAGTTAAAGCGTGATAAAAATATCTAAGTTAAAAAGTGAAAAAGTAATGAAAACTTAACCATTAAGCCTTTGAATTTCAAATCACTTGTCATCTTTTCTTTCTTTCTTCAAGACACACAAAATATATTCTTCTTCTTCTCCTTCATGACCGAAGCTTTCATGGTGTGAGAGATCAAGAAACAATCTCTTCACATGTTTAATCAAAATCTTCCCCAAAAACAACAATATGTTTGATATTGTTTTATTTTATAAATGATGCAACTCATCAATTACATGTTATATAAGACAATCCCAAGTAATATTCCTCGTACAATGAGCAAAACCACCAATAGTTTCAACAAATTATCCTTCTTTATGCAGTTAGAGCAAGTGGGTTCATCAAGCCGCTCAAAGAAATTACACTTCTTATTACTTTTGAAGTTGAGGCATCTAAAGAACTTCTTTCCTAGGTTCCTTATTGTTCAAGACTTGCGTAATACAACCCTCAATACACAGTTGCACACCTTCAGCTTCGATGAGGATGAAGATGAAAAATTCTCAGAAAATACACTTTCACACCTACTATGTTATTCCCATCTCCACCCAGGCTACCCTTGGTCAAAGTTGTTGTGGTTTGCAAAACCCTTCCTGAGACCGTAACTGGTGTTCATGTGTGTGCCTGAGAGAGAGAAAAGTCAAGTTTCACTTTCACTTCAACGTACAACAATAGAAAAATTAAAAGAAATTCATTAACAACTAAAACGTCAATTCTTTGGTTTCTTTCCCTTTTCTCTCACAATAAAATTGAAGGATTAAATTTTCCACCATGTTTTTTAAGACCCACATCTTCTCTAAATATTTATTTACCCTAAACCCAAAATAGTGAAAGGAAAAACAAAAACTAAGAAGGAAACAAAGAAAGTAATGCTCAAGTATATCGTGCTTGAAGAAAGGTGGGTGAAGAGAAATGGCAGAACAAACCTGTGTAGATCGTGCTTGAATAAACCCACGGAACAAACCTGTGTAGGAAACCCACGAACAAAGCTCTGTAGAAAACCCTTCCGTAAATCGTCTTTGAAGAAAAGACAAAGGTAAGCTTCGCAGCAGGACCAGTAAGCTTTTGGACATTGTACACTCGAGGAGGACTAAACCCGAAAAATCCGTCAAATGACAAACCCTATGTTGAAGTATCCCATCCTGTGGCGCTGGCAGGGGCAGAGTTATAAATAGGTCAAGAAGGACAAACAGTCTCAGAGAGTTGTCTCATCAAACAGGGTTATTTTGGTAAAATCACATCATATTCCCAGTAATAATTGTATGTCAACCAAACATATAATTAATAATCTTAATCCAATATTTCCAGTAAAATTTTGGTCTACCAAACAATTTTTTGGTAACTGTTCTGTCCTTGAGACAGAGATGTCCAGCCCAATAGGCTGGTGCGTTTAACTTGGATCTAGTGCCCTCTCCAAGGTATCTATGAATGAGATACCCTTGAGTCAAGCAGATCACTGTGCACAGAATACTATAACGGCTTTAGCCAATGGGCTGTGTGTGCGCACAGTGATAGCGTAACAGTAAGAGAGAGAGCGTACCGTATCTTTAGGGTTTACCTTGTATTTATAGAGGTTACCTGTGGGTAGTGTGGATGGGCCTTTGGTGCCTCTAGTGAGGGCCCAGGCCTGCTTGCTATGCTGTCGTATTAGGATTAGTATCCTTGATGGATATCTATCCCTTGTTAATATCAATCTGTATCTTGGATTGCCCCTTGTTGGGCCTACCACTTAATTGCCCCATTATATGGGTCCATAACAGTTGCCCCTCAGCCCGGCTACTTGGGCTTCCGGGTAGTCGGGGTGA